CTCTTTCAATCCCTCGATGTATTTTATAAATCCCTATCATATCTGCTTCCATTCTCCTCTTTTCTGGCGATGTCAGGTCTAGTTTTTTCAGTCTTTCTTCATATCTCACCCCTCGGAATTCTGCGAGGGTCGAGCCTCGTTGCAACCCTCTGAATCTTTTATAGTTCTCATGTGTGTGTTTTTTTAGCTGGGTGCTCGACAGTGGGTGTCAGGCGGTATACGGTGATCCTAGGACCATCCTAGGACCATCCCTCGCTCCTGTTGTAGGCTTCTGAGTGGCCTTCTGACTGTAGAGTCTTGTGGTGATATCCTATTTATATGATACCTCTGGAGTCAGGTTTGGTGTTATGTTCACTCCCAGGTCTCGTTTCACCCCTTGATTCGTTTTTTTTTCTGTTTCTGTCGCTCATTTCCCCGTTTCTATCGCTCGTTTTCTCCTTTCTATCACCAACCAGGACCCTCCAGGAGTGGACGGTCCCTGATCTGTCCGGACTATCCAATCATGGCCCCCTCACAATCCTAGGACCATCCAATCACGACCCCTCACTCACAATCGTGAGACAATCGAGGGCCCATCTGGTGGAGTGCGAGGGTGGGGGCCCAACCCGTCCTCAGGGGGCCCCGGCGCTCACTCTGGCCTCGGGTGGACACCACCACACGCTGCATAATGCAATATTTTCCCAGACTTGTTGACGTCTGCCTCCAGCACCGCGTTTGTGGTGGGGAGGCTCGCTGAGTGGAACCGTGTGGTGACGCTCGCTGAGTGGCACCGTGTGGTGACGCTCGCTGAGTGGCACCGTGTGGTGACGCTCGCTGAGTGGCACCGTGTGGTGACGCTCGCTGAGTGGCACCGTGTGGTGACGCTCGCTGAGTGGCACCATGTAATGACGCTCGCTGAGTAGCACCGTGTGCGCCATTGCGGTGATGCTCGCTGAGTGGTACTGACACGGGCGGGAATATGATGGGTTAGGCCTGCTGAGTAGCCCGACATACACACACACACACACACACACACACACACACACACACACACACACACACACACACTTGTGGTAATGCTCCATGAGTGGCCCTAGCGCGACGGTAATAAAATATGTTGGCGATGCTGACTGAGTGGCCCCTTTACTGCGTCATTGCCTGCGTCAGCAAGCTTGATAGGCTTATTGAGGTCCTTCTTGCTAGCGCCAGGACCTTCCCCAGGAGGCAACCCTCAACAGTTGCTTAGCACCCAGGCGCGTAATTACTGCTAGGTGAATAGAGGCATCAGTTATAAGAAAACTTGTTCCATTCTCTCATCCGCAATGATAGATTTCCAACACAAACACGTTGAGCAGAGTGCAGCAGCTGGTCGACGGCCGATGAGCGGCTCTCAGCTGTTACGAGGGAGAACAATGTGTAGTCAAGCTGGACACTGTCCCGGACACACGCGGGTCCATGTGTTATGTGTCCAGCACCACCCACTGTAACATTCCCGGGTAGTCTGTGATGCTCACTGATTGGCCTCAACACTGGCAGATTGTGATGCTCACTGAGTGGCCTCAACACTGGCAGATTGTGATGCTCACTGAGTGGCCTCAACACTGGCAGATTGTGATGCTCACTGAGTGGCCTCAACACTGGCAGATTGTGATGCTCACTGAGTGGCCTCAACACTGGCAGATTGTGATGCTCACTGAGTGGCCTCAACACTGGCAGATTGTGATGCTCACTGAGTGGCCTCAACACTGGCAGATTGTGATGCTCACTGAGTGGCCTCAACACTGGCAGATTGTGATGCTCACTGAGTGGCCTCAACACTGGCAGATTGTGATGCTCACTGAGTGGCCTCAACACTGGCAGATTGTGATGCTCACTGAGTGGCCTCAACACTGGCAGATTGTGATGCTCACTGAGTGGCCTCAACACTGACAGACTGTGATGCTCACTGAGTGGCCTCAACACTGGCAGATTGTGATGCTCACTGAGTGGCCTCAACACTGGCAGATTGTGATGCTCACTGAGTGGCCTCAACACTGGCAGATTGTGATGCTCACTGAGTGGCCTCAACACTGGCAGATTGTGATGCTCACTGAGTGGCCTCAACACTGGCAGATTGTGATGCTCACTGAGTGGCCTCAACACTGGCAGATTGTGATGCTCACTGAGTGGCCTCAACACTGGCAGATTGTGATGCTCACTGAGTGGCCTCAACACTGACAGACTGTGATGCTCACTGAGTGGCCTCAACACTGGCAGATTGTGATGCTCACTGAGTGGCCTCAACACTGGCAGATTGTGATGCTCACTGAGTGGCCTCAACACTGGCAGATTGTGATGCTCACTGAGTGGCCTCAACACTGGCAGATTGTGATGCTCACTGAGTGGCCTCAACACTGGCAGATTGTGATGCTCACTGAGTGGCCTCAACACTGGCAGATTGTGATGCTCACTGAGTGGCCTCAACACTGGCAGATTGTGATGCTCACTGAGTGGCCTCAACACTGGCAGATTGTGATGCTCACTGAGTGGCCTCAACACTGACAGACTGTGATGCTCACTGAGTGGCCTCAACACTGGCAGATTGTGATGCTCACTGAGTGGCCTCAACACTGGCAGATTGTGATGCTCACTGAGTGGCCTCAACACTGGCAGATTGTTATGCTCACTGAGTGGCCTCAACACTGGCAGATTGTGATGCTCACTGAGTGGCCTCAACACTGACAGATTGTGATGCTCACTGAGTGGCCTCAACACTGGCAGATTGTGATGCTCACTGAGTGGCCTCAACACTGGCAGATTGTGATGCTCACTGAGTGGCCTCAACACTGGCAGATTGTGATGCTAACTGAGTGGCCTCAACACTGACAGATTGTGATGCTCACTGAGTGGCCTCAACACTGACAGATTGTGATGCTCACTGAGTGGCCTCAACACTGACAGATTGTGATGCTCACTGAGTGGCCTCAACACTGACAGATTGTGATGCTCACTGAGTGGCCTCAACACTGGCAGATTGTGATGCTCACTGAGTGGCCTCAACACTGACAGATTGTGATGCTCACTGAGTGGCCTCAACACTGACAGATTGTGATGCTCACTGAGTGGCCTCAACACTGGCAGATTGTGATGCTCACTGAGTGGCCTCAACACTGGCAGATTGTGATGCTCACTGAGTGGCCTCAACACTAGCAGATTGTGATGCTCACTGAGTGGCCTCAACACTGACAGATTGTGATGCTCACTGAGTGGCCTCAACACTGACAGATTGTGATGCTCACTGAGTGGCCTCAACACTGGCAGATTGTGATGCTCACTGAGTGGCCTCAACACTGGCAGATTGTGATGCTCACTGAGTTTTAATGAATTAATTGTTTTTCGACAACCTAGCCTACCTAACCTAACCTAACCTAACTTTTTCGGCTTCCTAACCTAACCTAACCTATAAAGATAGGTTAGGTTAGGTTAGGTAGGGTTGGTTAGGTTCGGTCATATATCTACGTTAATTTTAACTCCAATAAAAAAAAATTGACCTCATACATAATGAAATGGGTAGCTTTATCATTTCATAAGAAAAAATTTTGAGAAAATATATTAATTCAGGAAAACTTGGCTTATTAGGCAAATCGGGCTTTGCATAGTAGGCTGAGAAGTGCGTTCTGGCTACTAGGTACGACATATATATATATATATATATATATATATATATATATATATATATATATATATATATATATATATATATATATATATATATATATATATATATATATATAATATGATATCTTCAGGAGTACACTGTGTTGAACTGACACAGCTATACAGAGCTTACAAGGTTGTTGTTGTTGTTGTTTTAGATTCAGCAACTCGGAACAAAAAGTTCCAAGCAGCACGGGCTATGGTGAGCCCGTAAGTGGAGACTCTTTGGAGCTTATTATCTGTATCAATAGTTGATACTGGAGATCTTGGGCTGGCTGAACCAGTTATGGAGCTGGAGGGTTAGTGTGGACCTCTTGGTCTTCCGTTTTTTCTTTGGCTGAGACTTTGTCTGAGTCGTGTTGTCGTTGGAGTTTGGTGAGGCGGCCTCCACGAGGAAGTCTTGTACCGTGTAGTTGTCGCATTTGTGGTGCGGCGGTGGAGCTCCTGCTGAGATTTCCTCGTCTGAGGAGTCCGTAACAACCGCAGTTGGTGGTTTTATCTTTCGTCTCGCAGCCTGAGGTAGGCTCAGGTGTCGTGGATTGGTGGTAGAAGCTATTTCAGGAGTGTTGGTGGTGCTGTTAGTATGTGTAGACAGCACGTCTGCCAGCGCGGCGGCTGAGGTGGTGATGGTGGGAGTGTTGGGAGCTGGAGAGGACATACATCTGTGACGCCCTTGTCATGGGGGGTTCTGGCGTCTGTGTTGAGGTCGTCCTGGTGGTAGTCTCCGGAGTGGTAGTGTAGGCTGTGATTCTTGCGCCAGGGGCTGAGGGTTCCGTAGCAGTTGTGGAAGCTGGAAAAAGGTCGTCAGGTACAGCAGCTGTTGGAAGTCCATTCGGGACTAGCAGCCTGTTGATGGTGATCTTGGTGGAGGCAGCAGGCTGGGTCGGTGGTGGTGTGGTCAGAAGTGGTGCAGTCGACTGGGTGCGGCGTCCCCAGGGGCCAGGCAGTGGTGAGGGAGTCACATGTGTGTTTCCGGGTCAGACTGGGTTTCTGGGTAAGAGTTTCCGATGAGAGTGGGTTTGCTGGTCGAGGTATGGCAGTGGGCGGAAGCGGTAGTTATCATTTTTTTTTTATTTCCTCCTGCCAGAGGAGCAGTGAGGTGAGACCGCAGGGTGCGGGCCATTGCAGAGCAGGCAACGTCAGTTGGGAGGATGTGTAGTGGTGCTCCTGGAGTGCTTCTCTGTGCATTTCCTGGTGTAGTGGGAGTACTGGTAGCACCTGAAGCACTGCCGGAGCTCCGTGAAGCGTTCCGTAGTCACTTGGGTGGGTAGTATGGTGATTCCTGCGCACTTAAGTCCTTATAGTCCGTGGCGTGGGTCGCTGCGATGACTGTGGTGAATGTCACCTTCAGTGTTGACTTACAAGGTGAGATCTAGACATTTATATGTGGGTGTACGTCTCCCTCTACGGTTCACCCAGCCCCCTTAATCTTAGGGAGCGTCGAAGGATAGGGTGATTGTTGCCTGACACCGGCTTCTAGCTGTCCGCCAGGTCTTACATCTTCCCTCTGGGTCAATGGAGGATCATCGAACACCTGTATGCTCGAAGTCGAACTCATCTGAATGTTGATTACTGGTGTCAACTCCCGAATGAGCACAGCCTCACGTATACGGTGCCTTCCACGGTAGTCGGTGTGTGTGATTACACGCCCTGGACCCCCGCCGTCAGGGCCCTGGACCCCCGCCGTCAGGGCCCTGGACCCCCGCCGTCAGGGGCCTGGACCCCCGCCGTCAGGGGTCCTGGACCCCCGCCGTCAGGGGTCCTGGACCCCCGCCGTCAGGGGTCTGGACCCCCGCCGTCAGGGCCCTGGACCCCCGCCGTCAGGGGTCCTGGACCCCCGCCGTCAGGGCCCTGGACCCCCGCCGTCAGGGGTCTGGACCTCCGCCGTCAGGGCCCTGGACCCCCGCCGTCAGGGGTCCTGGACCCCCGCCGTCAGGGGTCCTGGACCCCCGCCGTCAGGGGTCCTGGACCCCCGCCGTCAGGGGTCCTGGACCCCCGCCGTCAGGGGTCTGGACCCCCGCCGTCAGGGCCCTGGACCCCCGCCGTCAGGGGTCCTGGACCCCCGCCGTCAGGGCCCTGGACCCCCGCCGTCAGGGGTCTGGACCTCCGCCGTCAGGGCCCTGGACCCCCGCCGTCAGGGGTCCTGGACCCCCGCCGTCAGGGGTCCTGGACCCCCGCCGTCAGGGGCCTGGACCCCCGCCGTCAGGGGTCCTGGACCCCCGCCGTCAGGGGCCTGGACCCCCGCCGTCAGGGCCCTGGACCCCCGCCGTCAGGGGTCTGGACCCCCGCCGTCAGGGGCCTGGACCCCCGCCGTCAGGGGTCTGGACCCCCGCCGTCAGGGGTCTGGACCCCCGCCGTCAGGGGTCCTGGACCCCCGCCGTCAGGGCCCTGGACCCCCGCCGTCAGGGGTCTGGACCTCCGCCGTCAGGGCCCTGGACCCCCGCCGTCAGGGGTCCTGGACCTCCGCCGTCAGGGCCCTGGACCCCCGCCGTCAGGGCCCTGGACCCCCGCCGTCAGGGGTCTGGACCTCCGCCGTCAGGGCCCTGGACCCCCGCCGTCAGGGGCCTGGACCCCCGCCGTCAGGGGCCTGGACCCCCGCCGTCCGGGCCCTGGACCCCCGCCGTCAGGGCCCTGGACCCCCGCCGTCAGGGGCCTGGACCCCCGCCGTCAGGGCCCTGGACCCCCGCCGTCAGGGCCCTGGACCCGCCGTCAGGGGCCTGGACCCCCGCCGTCAGGGGTCTGGACCCCCGCCGTCAGGGGCCTGGACCCCCGCCGTTAGGGGTCTTGGACCCCCGCCGTCAGGGGTCCTGGACCCCGTCGTCAGGGCCCTGGACCCCCGCCGTCAGGGCCCTGGACCCGCCGTCAGGGCCCTGGACCCGCCGTCAGGGCCCTGGACCCGTCGTCAGGGCCCTGGACCCCCGCCGTCAGGGCCCTGGACCCGCCGTCAGGGCCCTGGACCCCCGCCGTCAGGGCCCTGGACCCGCCGTCAGGGCCATCAGGAACGCAGCAAACCCTAAAAAAGGAAATTATCACCTGGAACTAAAGATTTTCTATAAATATCTCCGCCACCACCACTTGCTTTCTCCTCCATGCAAAAGAATTCCAGCCGAGCATAAATTTATTATAATGAAGAGACCTCTAGAGACTGAAGAGCAGAAGGATGGAAAAGAGGAGGTGGGGGGGGGGGGTCAGGGAGGGAGGGAGGGAGAGAGAGAGAGAGAGAGAGAGAGAGAGAGAGAGAGAGAGAGAGAGAGAGAGAGAGAGAGAGAGAGAGAGAGAGAGAGAGAGGAAGGAGGAGGTGGTAAAGCTGTAGTAGGCAGGGAAGCCACAAAGTCAGGAAAGAGCAAGATTCCCTCTTGGAAATAATATTCACGTATGGAACATCACTACAACATGACCGCATACCAACAGCTTCAAGCATTTGTCTTCAAGACTAAGTGTGAAGCTGGTCTTAACCCCCCCCCCCCCCCCCCCACTGAGAGCAGTTTATTGAGCCCAACCAGCTGGGGTGGACGGTAGAGCGACGGCCTCGCTACATGCAGGTCGGTGCTCAATCCCCGACCGTCCAAGTGGTTGGACACCATTCCTTTCCCCTCCCCCGTCCCATCCCAACTCCTTATCCTGACCCCTTCCAAGTTATTCCAACTTCCTTCCAACTTCCCATATTTGAGCAAAAATATAACAATATCAATAATATTTCGAAGATTTATATAAATCAGCGTCAAGTATTGTCTATATTATATTCAAATAGGTCCTGTCAGGTCCTGTCAGGTCCTGTCAGGTCCTGTCAGTTCCTGTCAGGTCCTGTCAGGTCCTGTCAGTTCCTGTCAGGTCCTGTCAGTTCCTGTCAGGTCCTGTCCATAAGAACAAGACGTTAGTACAGTGTAACCAATGTGAGTACAGTGTAATCACTGTGAGTACAGTGTAATCACTGTGAGTACAGTGAAACCAATGTGAGTACAGTGTAATCACTGTGAGTACAGTGTAATCACTGTGAGTGCAGTGTATTCACTGTGAGTACAGTGTAACCACTGTGAGTACAGTGTAACCACTGTGAGTACAGTGTATTCACTGTGAGTACAGTGTAACCACTGTGAGTACAGTGTAACCACTGTGAGTACAGTGTAATCACTGAGTACAGTGTATTCACTGTGAGTACAGTGTAACCACTGTGAGTACAGTGTAATCACTGTGAGTACAGTGTAACCACTGTGAGTACAGTGTAATCACTGTGAGTACAGTGTAACCACTGTCAGTACAGTGTAATCACTGTGAGTACAGTGTAACCACTGTCAGTACAGTGTAATCACTGTGAGTACAGTGTAACCACTGTCAGTACAGTGTAATCACTGTGAGTACAGTGTAATCACTGTGAGTACAGTGAAACCAATGTGAGTACAGTGTAATCACTGTGAGTACAGTGTAATCACTGTGAGTGCAGTGTATTCACTGTGAGTACAGTGTAACCACTGTGAGTACAGTGTAACCATTGTGAGTACAGTGTAACCACTGTGAGTACAGTGTAACCATTGTGAGTACAGTGTATTCACTGTGAGTACAGTGTAACCACTGTGAGTACAGTGTAACCATTGTGAGTACAGTGTAACCACTGTGAGTACAGTGTAATCACTGTGAGTGCAGTGTATTCACTGTGAGTACAGTGTAACCACTGTGAGTACAGTGTAACCACTGTGAGTACAGTGTAACCACTGTGAGTACAGTGTAACCACTGTGAGTACAGTGTAACCACTGTGACTACAGTGTAACCACTGTGACTACAGTGTAACCACTGTGAGTACAGTGTAACCAAGTGATCAGGTACCTTGGCATCGCAGTATGGGAGTAAACCTATACGGTACAAGGAACCCACATGTTTATATGTTTCTGGCACGAATCCTTTGATATATTCCTTATGTTCAATCATGCAATCATGGAGACGATTGTAAAAAAATAAGGCTAATAGCATATTTGGAGACGTAATGGGACTTTGTAACACATCAACAGGACGGGTTCAGGGATAGTTAATCTTGCCTCACAGATGAAATTGAATTCTATGACCAGGCGACAAAATTTAGACAAGAAAGAGAAGGGTGGGTAGACTGCATATTTCTCGATTGACAGAAAGCGTTTGACATTGTACCATATAAGAGACTAGTGCATAAGTTGGAAACGCAGGCAAGAGTGACAGGGAAAATAATCCAGTGGATAAGGGAGTACCTAAGCAACAGAAGACAGCGAGTTACTGTGAGGGGGAAGATCACAGAGTGGCGTGAGGTCACCAATGGAGTCCCACAGGGCTCAGTACTAGGACCTATCCTCTTTCTCATATACGTGAATGATCTTCCAGAGGAAATAAGAACATAAGAATGAAGGTAACTGCAGAAGGCCTGTTGGCCCATACGAGGCAGCTCTTATTTATATACAAATAGGCTCATTCCTCTCAGTGTTAACTGATGATGGGAACAATTTGAGAAGGATACAACCAGAGGAGGGCAGTAAGAGGCTACAAGATGACCTCGACAAACTGAAGGATGAAATCCAACAAGCGGCTAATTGAGTTTAATTCAAGTAAGTGCAAAGTAATGAAACTAGGAGTAAGGAGCAAGAGGCCGGACACGAGGTACCAAGACCAATCCTGGAGTATGCAGCTCCAGCCTGGAGTCCATACCTAGTTAAACACAAGACAAAGTTAGTGAAGATTCAGCGGTATGCCACCAGGCTCGTCCCGGAATTAATAAGTATGAGCTACAAGGAACGGCTAAGGGAACTAGACCTCACATCCCTGAAAAACAAGAGAGTAAATAGAGACATGATAATCACCTACAAAAATTCTCAGGGAAAATTGACAGGGTGGACAAAGACAAACTCTTCAGCAAAGGTGGAACACGAACAAGGGAATACAGGTAGATACTTAGTACCCAAATGAGCCACAGAGACGTTAGAGAGAATTTTTTAAGTGTCAGAGTAGTTAACGAAGGGAATGCACTAGGAAGTGATGTGGTGGAGGCTGACTCCATACACAGTTTCAAATGTAGATATGATAGAGCCCAATAGGCTCAGGAATCTGTACACCAGTTGATTGACGGTTGAGAGGCGGGACCAAAGAGCTTGCGGGACTCAACCCCCGCAAGCACAACTAGGTGAGTACAGGGGTCCTCGCGACATAGAGGATAGCGTCTGAAATTCGCAGTCCACTGACAAGTACTTGAGAGTTACACATCTGTTGTGGGCGGCATCTTGGGGATGTGTGTGCGTGTGTGTGTGTGTGTGCGTGTGTGTGTGTGTGTGTGTGTGTGTGTGTGAGAGAAATATATGTCGTAGAAATGGACAGAGAAAAATACGTCGGGAGTCTGTACATTACACAATGAACGGTTAGGAAGGCGGGGTCCAAGAGCTCACAACTCGATCCCGCAGGCACAAACAGGTGAAGACACACGCACAAAACTATTATTCACGCTAAAAGTCCCCCCCCCCCCTCTGTATCAACAAGGGGGGGAGACTATTTTTCTATCAAAGAAGAAACCAGACGGTGAAATCCGGCAACTCCTCCCTTCATAAACATCACAAAAATGTCATTTTCCCGCGCACCGGCCAGATATCGAAGCCATTTTCGTCCCGGGCGTAAAACAGCCCAGCAGAATCCCAACAATGTCTGCGGTCTTGCTCCCATTTTTTTTACTGTCTGCCGCCCCGCTGCCATTCTTGTAGCGTCTAGCGGTTGAACCTTCCAGTAGTCCTCCCCATCTCCTGCGGCCCAGAGAGCCCATTCTCAGTCTTGCCAGTGGCCTCCACGCTCCCCCATTCCCTTTAACGATGCCTCCGGCCTCCGCAATTCCTTTAGCCTGCGATATTCCCGGCATGGGTGATCCAGTTGCCGTTCTCAGTGGTGTCGATGGCATGCCTCGTCCTGCTGGCGACGATTGCGTGCTCATTGCCATCCATCCTCGACTTGGTGGCCTCTGCTTTCGTCGGGGTTCGTGGCAAGGTTGTCAGCCCTGCCATCGGGTGTGTGCGTGTGTGACTTGAGTTGCCATTTCTCTACCAGCATGCGAAATCAGATTGGCGTTCATGGCAACGTTCACGACGATCCGTTGCCATTCTTGGAGCCTTCCAGGACCTCAGTCTTCATTGCTTATTCCATCAAGGGATTTCATTTGTAGATTAATTGCCACCTCGAATGTTAAGCTCGTGAGGTTTTAAGCTCATTTCAACGATGGAAGGTGATGAGTGTGTGTGTGTTACTGGAAGGGAAGTGAATGTTTGATGAGAGACAGAGACAGAGACAGAGTGCCACAGGTAAAGACAGATAAAGTAACAAAGAGTGACAGTGCCAGAGACGGATAATGCTTTTATGTCCGGTAGAAAAAGCTGAAATATTGTCTCTTAGCACTTGAAAATCAACTCTGTACTCCGACCACTCTAATGCTCAACACTGTTTACAAACACACACACACAATACTGTTTACAAACACACACACAACACTGTTTACAAACACACACACAACACTGTTTACAAACACACACCACTACACCTCCCACCTCCCCCCAGTCTCTACACTCCGAATGATGTAGTGATCATTTAAGCAGTATTTAAATCCAATAATAACCCCAGTAATCTCCTGTCTCGTTTGTCAGAGTCTCGTTTGTCGGAGTCTCGTTTGACAGAGTCTCGTTTGTCACAGTCTCGTTTTATTGCTGTCTCGGTTATCAGTCTCTCGTTGCTTTGTCTCGTTGTTCCTTCTCTCGTTTATGTCTGTGAACGCGAGCGGCTCTGTCATTAACCACCGAGCCTTTAAGGGTCCAGTGGACTTCGCTGAATATTTTGCTGAAGACTTTGCTAAAGACTTCGCTATAGACTTTGCTCAAGACTTCGCTGAAGACTTCGCTAAAGATTTCACTGAAGACTTCTCTAAAGACTTCGCTAAAGACTTCGCTATAAACTTCGCTAAAGACTTCGCTATAGACTTCGCTGAAGACTTCGCTGAAGACTTCGCTAAAGACTGGCTCACCTTTCCAC